TGCTTAACTTCTTAAGTGCTGACCCAGACAAAAGCCTTTGCTCATTTAACCTCATTTGTGCCTTACCTGAGGTCAATAACAAGAGCAATAACCAGGTGAGATGGTTAGGTTCCACTTTCCTTTATTGCTTTTGTGAGAATATTTCAGTAGCAAATTGAAAGAGAGAATAAAAGAGGAAAGAAGGAGAAACTATTATGTAGTAATGCAAACACATACACAAACATATACGGTATGTGTATATTAAATCAAAAATAATTTTCAGGGTTTTATCTTGACAGATCAGAAATTAAATTAATTATTTAATTATAGCACTAACAACAATGAAGAAAAGTTAACAATTTGGGGATTTTTTTTTTGAATGGGGGGGGTCTCACTCTGTCGCCCAGGCTGGAGTGCAGTGGCATGATCATGGCGATCATGGCTCACAGCAGCCTTGACCTCCTGGGCTCAGGCAGTCCTTCCACCTCAACCTCCCAAGTACCTGGGACTACAGGTGCATGCCACCACACACAACTTTTAAAAATTTTTTATTATCTTATTTTTTAAAACAAACTCTGCTCAAACTAAAAGAACCTTAGAAAACGCAGGAGACCGCCTTATGGAAATTGGAACTGGTAACCAATTCCTGATCAAAACCCCAAGCGCCCAAGCCATATGAGATAAGATAGATAAGTGGGACCTCATCAAACTGAAAAGCTTCTGCAAAGCCAAAGAAACCATCAAGAGAGCGGGGAGACAGCCCACAGACTGGGAAAAAATATTTGCCAGCTGTATGTCTGACAGAGGCCTAATATCTAAGATCTACAGGGAACTCACATGCCGAAAAGAAAAAACCAAACAGCCCCATTACAAAGTGGGCAAAAGACATGAATAGACATTTCTCAAAAGAAGACATATGAGCAGCCAACAGAAAAATGAAAAAATACTCAGTTTCACTAGTAATCAAAGAAATGCAAATTAAAACCACACTGAAATACCACCTAACTCCAGTCAGGATGGCCATCATTAATAACTCGAAAAACAACAGATGCTGGAGAGGATAAAGTAAAAAGGGAACACTTCTACACTGTTGGTGGGAGTGCAAACTAGTCTAACCTCTGTGGGAAAGAGTTTGGCAATTCCTAAAAGATCTAAAAATCGACCTCCCATATGACCCCATGATCCCCCTACTGGGAATATACCCGGAGGAACTCAAATCATTCTATGAAAAAGATACCTGCACACACATGTTCATTGCAGCATTATTCACAATAGCAAAAACATGGAACCAACTGTGCTGCCCATCGAAAGGGGACTGGATAAAAAAAATGTGGTACATATATACGATGGACTACTACATAGCCATAAAGGACAAAATTATGAACTTCGTAGCAACTTGGATGGACTTAGAGTCTCTAATACTGAATGATCTATCACAGAAACAGAGAACTGGGTACCACGTTTTCACTCATAAGCGAACCTAGAACAATTATCATGATACTGTAAGAAAGTGATTGGCAGTAGTGGGGAACTGCCAGAGAAGGGGAGGGTGGGATTGGCAGCAGTGGGAAACTGCTGGGGTGGGGGGGAAGGGGCCCACCTCATCAACAAGGGTATCTGCATAAAATATTTGTATACCTAACCCTGAATTGTACCCCACATCTTTAAAATAAAAAATTTAAAATAAAAAAACAAGCTCTGGCAAGTTTTATTAAACAATAATTTTGCATGGTTTACTCTTCACCAGCTTGTGCTGGCAGGCTTCTAACGATATCAGAATCACCTGGATCAATGATAGCCAGTGCTACAACATACTCTGTAGTATTTTCTGCACGCTGTGGCCAATTCAATATTATTGCCAGGGTAGTAATGACCACCTTTTGGCCGGCATAGCATAGATCTACTTTGGATTTCCCCAAAAGCCTGGCAGTTGTTGGTAAGGGTGACCAATTTCGCTTTGCCTCGTATGATCATCTTCAGTGTCTGCTTATACCTCAGAATGTACTTTCCACTTTTCATAACAGAGTTGGAGCCTAAAGTTGACCAACTCCAGTGACTTTTTCAACTTCTTTGCGGCCACCATCTCTTAAATTGTTGGATTTTATGGTTGGATTTTGTATACCTATCTGGTTTACTTTGTGTCAGTGGTTTTAAATTTTGTTTTAGAAGAATTATTATTAGGCTTTTCCACATAACCAAAATATATTCTCACTAATAAAATTAATACATATTTTTGGTAGAAATTTTGAGAACTTTTCTGCAAAGAAAAAAAATTAAAATCATTTTTACCACTCGGAGATAAGCACTGTTGGCATTTTCTTTCAGCATGTTTTTCCCTATGCATATGATTTTAAGTAATAGAAAACCCAACTCAAACTTGCTTAAACAATGAAGAAACTGACTGGTTCCAAGAGGAATGAAAAGTTCACGGGCAGATGGGTGAGGATGCTTCAGGTAAGGCTCCTTCAGGTGAGGCTTGTTCCAGAACTCAATATGTCATCAAGGTCCCTGTTTATCTCCTTCTCTCTGCTGTGCCTTCCTTGGTCTCTGCATTCTTCTTTTTTTTGAGTTGGAGTCTCACTCTGTTGCCCAGGCTGGAGTGCAGCGGCACGCTCACAGCCACCACAGCCTCGACCTGCTGGGCTCAGGTGATCCATCCGCGCCAGTCATCCATGTAGCTGGAAGTACAGACACATGCTATTTGCATTATTCTAAGACTGGCTTCTCTCATGGTCCCAAGATAGCAGCCAGCTTCTTCCTCTGGTCTAGAAAGAAAGAAAACATCAGCATTCTCTGCCAAAGTCATGAGAGTCATTCTACTGAACAAACCCTAGGGTCAAAGCATACCTTGACTCAATCATGAAGTCCAAAGGGATGGATAAATAACCTATGGTAGTTATATTACACTTCTCAGCTTCTCAGTAAACTCATCCACCCCATATAGATGTCTCTTCAATCTACATCTTTAGCTCTGTTCTTTCTCTTTTCTGTTTCTCCCTAGGGATCTACTGGACATAGCTACATACATAGATTGGTGCCTTTATGAGCAGTTAGTTCACAAGACAGTGAGGCTTTTATTCTCATTCTCTTTCACCAACTAGGTGGGTGTTCTTAGACCAATTGTTTGACCTCCTTGGACCTCAGATGGAGAGAATAACTTCTTCAAGAGAGAAACCAGAACTAGATAATTTCTCGTGGTTTTAGATTTCAGACCTAAAATCAAAATCATTATCTTCTTCCTATAACTGCTTTCCCCACTGAAATATTTCTACCTTTACGTTAAGAGAATAATAGAAAACAATTAAATTTTAGGGTTAGGAAGGATATTAAACGCTCTCTAGATCAATTCCTTTTCTTCATTGTAATGGATGGGAAACACATATACTTATTAAATCCTTTCTCCTCCTTAGCCCTATCAGTAATTGAGTCATATCAGTTCTCTATTGTACTGTCTCTCAGGCCTATTCATTATTTTCACTGTCATCACTCCAGAGTAGGTCTTCATTTCCTTATGTTTTAGTTCTTCCCAAAGTCACCACACTGTTTTTCTTGCCTTCAGTCTCTCTTTCACCTAAGTCTGGGAAAGCTTCCAGATTACATATCCAAAAATATTGTGATCATTATGACATGTTCTTGTGGGGAAAAAAATTTAATGGTTTTACTATGGTCAAAGGATAAGGTTCAAATTCTAAGACTAACCTGAGGAACTTCCTGTAGGTTGACTGTAACTCAACTTTCCAGACCTATCTTTCATTAACCCCTCAATAGTCAAAGCTCAGTAAATATTTATTAAGTTATTCTCCATACTTTCTAAACAGAAATCCTTTTAGGCTTGAGGTATTCAGATTTCTTTCTTTTTCTTTAAGTAGACAGGTGCAAGAGAAACAAAGCAGCTGAAAGTGAAAAACATAAGAGAACCGTGGAAAAGTGAACAGGAGGAGAATGTATGCCTTTTCTATAACTGCAGTTCTGCTCATTTTCTCCTACTAAGTTTCAGATCCTTTAATCTACCCTTAGCTTACTGTAAGTTTTCTTAGTAAGCCATACAGTTTTGTATCTTTGCACTAAACTTATCAAGATGATAGGAAAACACCTAAGTTACTGGACAGAAAAGTTTAAAGATACAAAGCAAGGTAGAAGGTTGTAAAGGACAAATGTTTGTGGAGATATTAAGTGGGATCAGATTATAAATATTTTTAAGTTTGAAGCTTGTTTTATTCCCAAAGGTTAATTCAACCACAGGGTTTCTTCAGGTTCCAAAGTGGAGCATATGCGGAATACCTTCATTTCCATGTACTCTCCATGTTTTTCCATCAATACAACCAATTTCCTCTCTCTTTACTGAAGGGATACTATTGTAGTTTTCCCACAATACAAATGCTGTAAACGCAGTCACGGACAGGGCCCTTAATCTAAATCAAGAACAGGGCTAAAGCTTTACATTTTAATCTGGTGATTTAGGAAGGTCAAGGTCACATGGCCGTGGTAAAGGTAGAAGGCACGATATTGACTCAGTGTGATTCTAAGTCATCACTTTTAAACCCTATGCTATAAAATGGACTAGGCTAACCAAAAGACGAACTGGCAGACGACAAGAAGGTTGGGGTCGGCGGAGAGAAGACAGGTCTGTCTCTGCGTCTGAACTCATGGAGAGGAAAACGAGACTGAGAACGACCCACGGTAGCCGCCATTTTGTGGGAGCCGCGCAGCCGGAAGTTCCGCCGCCGGAGGATCGCGGCGGGGTAGGGTTGTGGGGCGTGCGGCTCCAAGGCTCCAGGAGCGGGGCGTGGCCTAAGGACGGGGTTAGGGAACGTGCGGCTCGGAGGCCCGAGGCTGTGGGCGGGGCCTGAGGGCGGGGCGGGGCCGTATGCCGCCAGCCTCGCGGCTGTGGGAGGGGCCTGAGAGTAGGGCGGGCCCGTGTGCCTCGAGGCTGGGGGCGGGGCCTGAGGGAGGGGTGGGGCCGTGTGACTGGAGATTCGAGGCCGGGCGGGGCCTGAAGGCGGGGCGGGGGCGGGGCCTCACGGCTGGCGCCGGGAGAAGCTGACAGGGCCGCAGCGGCTACCCCCCGCCTCCCTTAGTCGGAACGTGCCTGAGCTGCTGCAGCAGCTGGCGCCCGACAGCGCTCGGCAGAGAGGGCTGGGGGCGGGAGATGACGGTGGTTTCCTCTCTGCTTGGCCCTCTGCGAGCACCGACTCCTTGCGGCCCCAGGGCTGCAGACGAAGCAGGTGAGATGGGCCCCCTGGGGCGTGGACCTTTCCGGTCCTGGCTCGGCCTCGTGGGCACTGTGTACTCCCGCCTACGCCCCTTGGGTCTGGACAGGTGGGCAGTGCTGTGCCATCTGCGCCCCGGCCCCGCGGCCCGCTCTCTAAGCATGCCTGCCCCCAGCCCCGCAGCGCCTGCCTGGAGCGTGTAGGACCACCTGGGAGGCTTGCGAGGGGAAGGGGCGACTCGTCTCCTCCGGAGACGGAACTACCATCCCCAGTTTGGGATGCCCTTTATTGCACGTGCGCCCACCCTGTCATTCTCGGACGCTTCCCTTTATCCCGAGGGTGGCCTCAGTATTTGCCTCTCCTGAGAGCTTCTGCCCAGGCACCCGGAGCGTTGCGCCTAATTTTCTCCCATACCCCTTTTTTGGAGCATGTAGTTACGGTGCCGTTGTGACTCCCGTCCCCTGGGAAGCTGGACGACCACCTTTTTCTTACCCTAGGCTGCCTTTCTGTTTCCACTGCTGTCTTCCCAGTTGTTGGACAGCCCATTTGGTTAGGGACTCTCTGCACCCTTATCTTGGAGGGCCAAAGTCTGTCCCTGCAGACAAGGGAAGGAGGCAGTGCTCAGCACTCCCTGTCCAGGGTCTCTAGGGAGGACTTTTGGTCCCCCGCAAGTAGGTGGGAGTGGGTGAATGGTGTGACTGTTGATGTTGAAGAGTGCCTTAATAGTGCCACATTGTATTGTTTTCCCCACAGGATATAGGATATTGGGTATTAGCGAAATTGCCTAAGAGTTTAAAGCTTTCTCTTTGAAGTTAATCAACCCTCTCCTCCCCCCATGTTCACTTAATAATAGCAGTTATTCATAATTTTAGTGGCTCGTTGATGTGATCTAAACCAAATATGAAGTGGGCAGAAGAGGTTTGTAAATACAGTAGCATTTCTCCAGTCCCTGCCCCAGTGAGTGGTGTTTTACTGTGATAGGTCAACTTGTTTGTTCTGTAACAAGCCTTGTTTTCATAGATGAAAAGACTGGATATAATTTTTTTTTTAAACTTCCCTTGCTGTGGTTCCTGTTCATTTAAAAAGAATGCTTTAGAAAACATATTTTCTTTCCGTTTAAAAAAGATTAGAATGAGATAACACTTCTAAGTAGTGTTTTTTTTTTTGTTTTTTGTTTTTTTTTTTTTGAGTCAGAGTTTCACTCTGTTGCCCAGACTGGAGTGCAGTAGCACACTCACAGTCACCACAGCCTTGACCTGCTGGGCTCAGGTGATCCTTCTACCTCAGCCTTCCAAGTAGCTGGAACTACAGGCGTGTGCCACCACGCCCAGCTACTAAGTAATTTTTATTATTTTGATTTTCCCTCAATTAGCAGATATTTTATAATACTGAAAAACATTAAAAAGAAATCTCATGGGAAGATTATTTTTTGAAGTTTTTCTTTTAACTCTCAACTAATTGAAAGTTAAATCTCACCAGTACTACAACTATTTGGCCATCACCCTAAGAAAAATGAAAGAGCACTGTCCCTTCTTAAACTTTTTTTTTAAACCACTGCTGTTGTAAGGGCCACAGGAAACTTTCCCTTCACTGAAAATCAACCCACAAAAGGCAGATTAATTGGAGAAAAGACATACAAATTTTACTAATGGGTATAGGGGGAGATACATTTAATTATTTATTTATATTTTTTTGTTGAGATGGCGTCTTGCCATGTTGTTAGGCTGGTCTTGAACTCCTGTCCTCAACCTCAAGTGATCCTCCTGCCTTGGCTTCCCAAGGTGCTGGGATTATAGGCATGAGCCACCGCACCTGGCCTATTAATAACCATTTAAGATCAAACTAAATTCAATTCAACTCTTCCTAATTGTGTGATATAAAACAAAAATTGATGACTTTATGTTGCATCCCATCTCTCTTTTTTGACTGGAGAATCTTCATACCAAGTATGGTTGAGGAACTAACACAGGATTTACTTTGTTATCCCTCTTGTCATGATTAGGACTACAACTCCTAATAGCAGCTGCTACGTTTCTTGAAGGCATACTGTGTGATGAGCTGGGTATAAAATGTTCTGTCCATGTAATATCCCTCTAAGGAAGTTTTTACTCTCATTTTACAGCTGAGGAAACTAAGGTTCAGGAAGGCTATATAGCATATCCAAGGAGGTGATAAGTGATAAGGCCCAGATCTGTTTGACTTCTTTTGCTGAACCTCCACTAGTTTAGTTAAACCTGTTGGTTAAACAAAAAAATTGGAATGCTTGTGTGGTGCAAGTAAGGGCTTGTAAGCAGTATGAATTATTAATGCTCTGGGGCAAAGAAATATAGGGAACTTTTGAAAAACATCAGAAGACTGGACTAGTTTATCAACTTCTTTAGCACTACCTTGTATACACTTCAGGACTTTAGTTGTTTAACACTTTTGTTTAGTTGTTTACCAGCTCCTTACTTCAAGTGTGGGTATCTGTACCAACCAGTAGCTTTCCCAGGATATAATTTGATGCTTACTTGGTAAACTACAAGTGCGTGAGCATTGTAGGTTTTGTGTAATATGTCGGTCACTCTTATCTGCTATCTGCTCCTAGTAGAAAAATACTTGTCCTAATTCAGATTAAGTGGAAGGTTTTTAAATGGTTTGGTTTATACCAGGGTAGCACAGAAAAAAATTCTCTTACACATCCCCAGGTATCAGTTGTTGGTGATCTCCGGGCTGCCATCTAAGTCTTTTTTAATATGATGAAGAGGTTTGAGAATTTAACTTGGATATTGTAAGTTTCAGTAAGCATGAGCTTTTTACTTTCTATCTTATGTAAGTCTACTTTAGATGGTAAACCCCGAATAACCACTTAGAAATTGCCAGTTGTCATATTAATTTCAAGATACTAATAAAAGCTGAATTGTTTTAGTTATCCAGACCACATTCATTGTCCCTGGCAGCAAGAAGAAAGTCTGATAATTTTTATAGTGTTAGCATAAATAACTTGTTCCTTGCTTTAGCTTTCTCTGAACCTCTTGAGAACATTTCCCAGCACATTTTGTGTCCTTTAACATTTTATGAACATCTTTACACATTTTGTGTTCTTGGGTTCTTAGAATATCATTCAGAAAAAAAGCAAAAAATTGTTTTTGTCCATGAACTAGATAGTGCCTGAAAAAGTACATTGATCCATGAAAGGGTGAAGGTTTATTTAAATGCAAGTTATTATTTTAGTCATTCATTAAAAAAAATTTTTTAGTGTCTCCTGTTTGCCAGGCACTGTGTTAAGTAGGGACGTAACAGTATACAAAAAACATGCATAGTTTCTGTGTTATTTAAAGTCTAGTGAGGGAAACAGACACAACTCAATTAGTTACTCTAATGCCTAGAATAATTATAAATTGAGAAAAGTGACCTACAGGTAAGGAACATGACTGTGAAAGAATTGTGGCCTGGCTATGGGGTTAGAGAAGGCCTCCCTGATAACTAAATGATTTGGAGGGTAAGTAGGTGTTAATTATGTAAAGAGTGGCAGGGGTGGGTAGAGAAGAGAACATTTTAGAATGAACTGGATGTGCAAAGTAAAGTCCCTGTGGTTCAAATGGACTAGGGCCAGTGTGTGTGACTGATGTAAAAGGAACTAAAGGTTGGCAGAATGCCATCATTTTTTCTTCTTTCTCTTATATTCTACCACAAGTTATATTTAATTTTGGTTAAGTGATTGCTCTATGCCAGATGTGATTATAAGAACTTCACTTGAATAATCTCAAGTTTTCATGTGGTAGGTACTATTATTGCCATTTCACAGATGAAGAAAGTGAGGCACAGAAAAGTTAAAGTTAGTGGTTCAGAGTTGGTAAGGGATGCTCTACTATATTCTTTTTCCTATTCTATACTCAAGTATGCTAAGTATGACCACAGGTAGAAAGGACTCTCTGGTCCCAGTGTGACTCCTCGATGGAGCCCTGAGAATTTCTGAAATTATCAGAGAATTTGCATGCTGGTGGACATTTAACAGAGACCCTATAGGCCTCTATATCCTTGTCAACATCCAGAGCTCAATTGTGAGTCGCTGGAGAGAACCACAGGCCATCACTGCAGCTGTAATATTTGCGGATCTTATTGTACTCATGTCTGATCTGAATATAGAACAGCAACATAAATATTTTGAGCTGACCTACCTTTGAGAGTAAAAATTTTATTGTTAGCAACTCCTCACTTTTTCTCCATTGTATTTTTCCCTGGTGGCAGTTGAAGAAAATATGTATATTTATTGGACCATTTAATAAGTAAAAAAAAAGTCTGGGTTTGTGAGTGTATCATTTCATCTGAAATTCTTATTGATCATTACACTGAATCTTTTTTTCCTTTTTTCCAGAGATCTGGTTGGAGTTGGAGGGTGAGAGAAAATGAATTCTTTTTCTAATTCACCAGCAGAGAACTTAACCATTGCTGTCAATATGACGAAGACTTTGCCTACAGCTGTAACTCATGGATTTAATTCCACTAATGACCCACCTTCAATGTCAATAACAAGGCTTTTTCCAGCCTTACTAGAATGCTTTGGCATAGTCCTTTGTGGTTACATAGCAGGAAGGGCCAATGTCATAACATCAACACAGGCCAAAGGACTGGGAAATTTTGTCTCCAGATTTGCACTTCCAGCTTTATTATTTAAAAACATGGTTGTACTTAATTTTTCCAATGTGGATTGGTCTTTCCTATATAGTATCTTAATTGCCAAAGCTTCTGTATTTTTCATTGTCTGTGTATTAACCTTATTGGTTGCCAGTCCTGATAGTCGATTTAGCAAAGCTGGACTATTCCCTATTTTTGCTACACAGAGTAATGACTTTGCATTGGGATACCCTATAGGTAAGTAATTTTTTATTTTTCAAGTTTTTAAAAAATTCAAGTAAGGAAGTAACAAAACATAACAAAATATATAAGCTTTTGTTAGTGACAGGTTCTTACTCTCATATCTAAGAAATCTTTCATTTTTTTCCTAAGTATGTCTTAAAATGGGATGAATTATATTTTTTTCTCGGCATCAGAGTTTGAGGATCCTTTAAACATTTACCTGACTAGGTGTGGTAGCTCATGCCTATAATCCTAACACTCTGGGAGACAGAGGCAAGAGAGTTGCTTGCCCAGGAGTTTGAGACTAGCCTAGGCAACGTGGTAAGACTTTGTCCCTACAAAAAAATTAACTGGACTTGGTGGCATGTGCCTGTAGTTCCAGCTACTAGGGAGACTGAGGTGGAAGGATCTCCTGGGCCCAGCAGGTTGAGGCTGCAATAGCCATGATTGTGCCATTGCACTCCAGTCTGGGCAACAGACTGAGATTCCTACTAAAAAAAAAAAAAAAAAAAAAAAAAGAAAAAAATCTACCTAAAATAACATCCTAATAAGATTTGTAAGTAGTTTTTCTAATAGTATTCTTTCTCTTCTTAGTAGTTACATATGAAGGAAGTTTAATTTTCAGAAGGGATCAGATTCTGATTTAAATAATGTAAAAAAAAAAAAAAAAAAAAAAGTAGGCCTGGCCAGGTGCCCTTGCTCATGCCTGCAATCCCAGTGCTTTTGAAGACTGAGATGGGAGTATCACACAAGACCAGAAACTGAAGATATACCTGGATGACATACACATCCTGTATCTATAAAAAAAGTTTTAAAAAATTAGCCAGGGCTGGGTGGGCATGGTGGCTCATACCTGTAATCTCAGCACTTGTGGAGGCTTAGGCGGGAAGATCGCTAGCACTTAGGAGTTTAAGACCAACCCGGGCAACATAGTGAGACCTCATCCCTACAAAAAATAAAAGTTAAAAAAAGAGCCAGGCATGGGTGGTGGTGCACACTTGTAGTCTTAACTACTTGGGAGGCTGAGTCAGGAGGATCCCTTCAGCCCAGGAATTTGAGGCTGCAGTGAGACATTATTATGCCACTGCACCTCAACCTGGACAGCACAGTGAGACTCTGACTTTAAAGAAAAAAAAAAAAAGGCTAGACATGGTAGTACACCCCTATAGTCCTGGCTACTTGGGAACATGGCTTTTGCCCAGTGGTTACAGTGAGCTATGATTGCACACTTCACTCCAACCTGGATGACAGAACAAAACAATATCTTTAAAAACAAAAAAAAAAAAGGTAGGCTTTTGTCTGTATAAAAATAGTCATTATTAAATGTTAGAGGTGGAATTTTGTGAATGATTTTTCCCTCCCTTATTTCTCTTATCACCTGGAATACATATTATTTTATATTAAAGATTTTTTGAGCTTGCTATTTAAAATTTTAATGTATTTTAGTTAAAGTTAATTTCTTGTTTAAGAGCAAAAATGGTGAGAGTTTTTTTTACCTTTCCAACTTTTTCTTTTTCAAAACCTTTCCAACTTTTCCTTTTTTACCTTTCTGATTCTTCAAGCAGCTCAATTTTATGTTTTAATGTGGGTATGTTTTCCTGATGAAACTGTTAATATACCAATTTGGAATGTTGGCATATCTTGAAAGGAAACGTGTTTTTCAGAACACTCTGCCACCAAGGAAATATATACTTAGGAACTCCCGATTTGTATTTTTAAATTAAAGCTCTGTGTACTTTGACCATGTATCGTAATGCGAGGCCCTGAATATTATGGATATATTCATTCATTCATTCATTCATTTATTCATTCATAGGGAACTGGTACGTACCAGTGACTGTACTAGCTGCTGCGAATATGCCTGTGAACAAAGTTCATACACATATTGGATTTACATTTTAATAGGAAAATAAATAGTAAAATTAAAATTATATCAGTTGGTGACAAGGGCCATAAAAACAAAGTAGTATCAGGGGAAAGGAGCAAGGTGGTGCTACTTGAGGTCGGGTGGTTAGTGAAGGGCCTCTTTGATGATATGTCTTCTGAGCAGAGACTTGAATTGAACTTATTCAAGGGTACAATTGAAATCTACCATTCACTTTCAAGTATCCTGTCTAGTAGTTTTATCCTCTTCCCCCAATCCTGACTTATTTCACCACTGGCACCCAAAAGATTCTAGTGAACTATACTTTCCATCTTTCTCCACCTTTGACCTTCTTCCATCTTGCTTACCAGAAAGAGAAAAATACCTAAGAAATCAAATAACTATGAATAAAGCAGGAGGTTGAAGAGAGGAAAGACTAGGCTCTTAGATAATTGAGCTATAAATAGTCAGAAATTAGATAGGTGTTCCTTTAAGGTTATTGGCTTTTAAAATGAAGTAAAGACAGTTGGAAATAAAAGCAAGCAGTTAATGTGTTTGTCTATTTCTTTGGGAGCATTGATAATGTAAATTTGTCAGGGTATTAATGATATAAGGACCTTAGAAGTGGCTCAGTGTCCTAGTGTTAAATATCTAATAAATATTGCTATATCTTACTTTAGTCGTGAGCTAGAAGTATATAGTTTCATGCTCTAATAGTTTAGTAAGCCCATAACTATAGAACTAACCTTTGTAACTTTATAGCTTATAGAATACTTTCTTACATAATTATCTTACTTGAGTAGGACAGATATTATTATCCTTATTTTCAAATAAGGAGACAGGCTTACAGCAATTCAATTATCCCAGGTCACACAGCTAGCAGGTGACTGAGACCCAAACCTACTCTTGTGGTTCCAAATCCTGGGCATTCTCTTATGCCACACAATTACATAACATGCCAATTCAATCTTCAGAAGATCCAGCCAACTTTGTAATGTATCAATTTCAGAAAGAATCAAAAGGTTTTTTTCTCTACATTATTCTAAAAACATCCCATGAAATGAATAGTAATGGAAATGACCTATTAGATGACTTAATCCATTTCCATATGGAGGCGGAATCGCCAGATTAAAAATATGATCTGCCATTTCACCCCTGCATTTCTCATGTCCTACATTAAATCAGTGAATCGGGTAACAGTCATGTTCCTAGCAACGTGCTAGCCCAAATTTCCCTGAGGATTATGTTTGTTGACTTTGAGCTGTAATTATTGTTTTGTTTTTTTAATCACAATTAGTAACACAAGTTCTCATAACATGAGTTGTAGACTATAACTTTACTAAGCACCAATAGGGTAGACAGAAGTGGTTTCTCATGTAGCTACACATGGGGAGGTGTGGCAAGAACTGAGAGGACTGAGGACCTGCTTCTGGGTGAGGTCATTTGTTATTGCTGTCTGTGCCCAGCTGCCTTCTGGCCTTCGACAGGGTAAGCAGAGAAGACTGTCTCCAGAGAGAAGATCTTTATTTCTATTTGTTTTATGGCCTGTCCAAGGAATTCCCACTCTCTTGTTCACAGATGAGCAATGATCATGTGCTATATAATCCCAGCACTTTGGGAGCCAGGAGGATCACTTGAACCCAGGAGTTCAAGACCAACCTAGGCAACATAGTGAGACCTTGTGTCTACAAAAACACACAAAAAATTAGCTGGAGTGTGGTGGTATGGGCTTGTAGTCTTAGCTACTCAGGAGACTGAAGTAGAAGGATCACCTGAGCCCAGGAGGTCAAGGCTTCAGTGAGCCATGATCGTGCTACTGTACTTCAGTCTGGGTGATAGAGTGAGATCCCAACTCAAAAAAAAGGGGAATGCTGAGGAGAAGACAGATAAGATAATGAATGCAGAAAATGATAGTCATGTTTTCTTTTCCTATATACTATAACAACTATAATGGTCTATGAAACTACATTAGGATTATTTATCTTTACTCAGTTGACAGAATAGTGCATTATTCCAGACTAAAAAAGAAGCTTATTGTTTTTTTAGAATAATTTTTTTCCCAAAGTACTTAAAAAAAAAATCCAAGTATGAGAAGAAATCAAGATTCTACCAAGGTGAAATGTTGATTTTAGCAAATCAGAATGGTTCCCTGCCTCTGTCATTAAAAGATACTAATAGAGCATAGTTAAGTCCTATAATTTATTCTTCAAACAATGCTGATGGCATAAGTACCCAGACTAATCACAATTATGCTCTAGTGCTAGAGCTGTAAACAGAAAGGAAATGAAGCATTTAACTATATGCCATTAAATAATAGAATGATCTTGCCTGTGTCTTTGTGTTACATGCCAGAGATTGAAACCCTGCAGGAATCAAAATAGGAGGCACAGTGGGTGGCTAATTTTGTCTCTTAGTTCTTCAAAGCTATATAATAACTCCTCATAATGGGATTCCCCCCCTCCAAGAACCTTATTTATAAGCATTAATTAATTAGAACTTATAAGTTGATATAATGATTATAAATCTAACTTTACTTTCTATAGGTGACTGCTTTCATGTATACTTTGCTCTGATTTGAAAAACTATCTTCAGATCAATGGCAAAAGAAAATCACTGCCAATTTATAGATAAAGATGTCATGTTAAGTAATTTTGCAAATGAGGGCAGAAGTAGATTGAAATTCCCATGTTGATTCCTATTCTTCTAATAATTTAACAAGTATTTATTTAATCATAATGTTTTACTCTCCCAGTAGACCACTTTTCCTTTGCCTTTGTACACTTGTTCAGCAGACTTAAAATAATCCAATAGTAATCTGCCTTATAATGTGTCTTAGAATGTGTTTAAAAGAAGAGATACAAAATTTCAGCTATGTCGGAGGAATTCATTCAAGAGATTTATTGTACAACATGGTGTCAATGGTTAATAATAATGTATTAGCCAGGCCCGGTGGCTCAGCCTGTAATTCTGCACTTTGGGAGGCTGTGGTGAGTGGATTGCCTGAGCCTGCGGGTTCGAGACCCACCTGGGCAACTTGGCAGGACCTCATCTCTACAATAAATCAAAAATTAGCTGGGCGTGGTAGCACGTGCCTGTAGTTCCAGCTACTTGGAAGGCTGAGGCGGAAGGATTGCTGGAGCCCAGCAGGTCGAGGCTGTGGTGACCGGGAGTCACCAGTCTAGCTGACAGAATGAGACTCCAACTCAAAAAACAAAAAACAGTGTATTGTGTTCTTGAAAATTGCTAAGAGAGTAGATTTTAAGTGTTCTCATCAGAAAAAATGATAAATATATGAGGTAATACATATATTAGTTTGATTTAGCCATTTCAATGTATATATATTTCAAAACAACATCTTGTACTTGATAAATATATATAATTTATATTTGTCAAGTAAGTTAATTTTTAAAAAATCAAAAATAAATTTAAAACTGGATATAAAAAGGATGGGAGGATTACTTAAGTCCAGGAGTTCAAGACTAGCCTGGGCAACATAGAAAGACTTTGGCTCTACAAAAACAAAAACAAAAACAAAAAATTATCAGGGAGTGGTGGTGCATGTCTGTGATGCCAACTACCCGGGAACCTGAGGGGGAAGCACTGCCTGAGCTTGGGAGGTAGAGTCTGAGGTTAGTTATGATTGTTCCACTGCATTCTAGCCTGGGCAACAGAGTGAGACACTGACTAAAAAGAAAAGGAAAGAAAGAAAGAAATGGATTAGCTGACAACAATTAGGTATAAATTGCTGTGTGTTACAAAATACATTTTTATTATATCTGAAACCTTTAACATCCATTGATGTCTTAGTTAATTTCATTCAGCAAGTATTTTCAGATTTGTTCGGCTTTGTGCTGCGGACTGGGTTATAAGATGCCTCAAGGAACTTAGAATTTGTTGAGGTGGCACTGTATAAAGCAAAGTACCATGGCATTCCAGAGAAGGAGAGATGAATGATGTAGATTGAAGACTTGGTAGAAGAAGCAAGACCAGAGACAGGCTGTAAATGGTAGGCAAGCCTTAAGTAAAAAAGGAAAGACGCAAGAAGTTAAAGGGTGATGGTATGGCCAGTGTGTAGAGCTAGTAATTATGAACACGGTGTTTGTCTGGTATAACTATGCTATTAAACTGGCTGGCAGAGTCTTTGCACTAAGGAACAGTCAGAGATGAGTTGAATAAATAAGGGGCCAATTATGGAGACTGGGCTGCAGATGTCAAAAGGAAAGTTTTATAGCTATTCTGGTAGGAGATGAGAAAATCTTAACATTTGGAAGTTAAGATTTGAATGATACTGTTAGCAGTGAGTAAAATGCATGAAGGATGTGGTTGAGAAAAAACAAACAAATGTTGGTTGGTAGACACATGAAGTCATCTAATTTTGACATTTCTGACTAATGATGTTAGTAGGAATTAAGAGAAAATACAAAAGATCCTGCAAAAGAAAAAAATACTTGGTGACTGGCTAGCCATCAGAACTGTTGCTCAAATTTGCACAGAACTCTTAAAACAACGTAAAGCTCATTACGTGGAGGTGATTAATTGCTAGTGTTCCAGGAAAGTAGACTCCTGGGAAAAGGAGCTTTGAGTAGATCACAGAACTGTATAGCCGTGTTGTCAAAGGAAACATTTGGCATTTTATTGCGGTTGCTTAGGAAAAATTCTTGGGTACAGATTGAAAACACAAAACTTTTCCAAAGTATGCACTCTATTTAAAAAGTTGAGTGGTGGGCAAGTATGAACATCTTTCTCTTGAGACAGAATATCTAATCAAAGTGTAGCTATCTAGAGATAGTTAGCAAAAGTGGTGCTTTTTACTCAAAAGAGGAAACCTTACGAAACATGAACAGAAAACCACTAAGTTATATAACTAGCGTATCTAATTTGAAAATCTATGGAAAGACTTTATGAAATTTTGTGTAATCAAGTAGTTTTTAACCACTGCTTCATTTTGGAAATAGTATAGACCTCCGAATATACTTAACTAAGAAAATGGGGATTGAATTTTTTAAAAAGGATACATTTTAGATTCTGAGAAAAAGGTGAACTTCTGAAAGTTATATAACCTAGTTACATAACTTTAACGGGACTTGAACTGAACTTATGTTTCCTGAGTAAGTAAACAAATGTATTTTCCTACCTGTGTCTCTTTATCTTAATGTAAATTGAGGAACCTAATCTTTTAGATTTTTTCACATGATTGCCTCTCTCATTGTGAATGATTGTGGTTGTTCTCTTATCTTTCTTTTTCAACTTCAAATCAATTACGAATCAGCCTTTGTATGCATTAGATTGTATAATTTCTAAGACCCATTGCCAAAAATGTGCCTAGAGACCAGATTGTTTATTCCAAGGCTCTGAGTTACTGCAGTCCACCTGACACCAGGCCACCAGCCCTCATATCCACAAGGAAACTGCTAGAAGTTGGATCTGCTAGGTAGGAGGAATAAATTCAAGAGATCTATTGTACAACATGGTGACAATGGTTAATAACAATGTACTGTATTCTTGAAAATTGCTAAGGAGAAGATTTTAAGTATTCTAATCAGAAAAAATGATAAATATATAAGGTAATAAATATGTTAGTTAGTTTGATTTAGCCATTCCACAATATGTATATATTTCAAAGCAACATCTTGTACATGATAAATATATGTGATTTGTATTTGTCAATTAAATTAATTTTTTAAAAAGCAAAAATAAAGTTAGAAGTAGATATAAAAAGAAATGGATGGGAGGATAGCTTAAGTCTCGGAGTTTGAGACTAGCCTGTGAGACACAGAGAGACGTCATCTCTACCAAAAAAAAATTAGCTGGAAGTGGTGGTCACCCACCCCTGTCATGAGATTAGGGCATACATCTTATGCAGAGTTTAGATTCTAATATACTCAATCCCTTGGAAAAATTCCTTACATTACCACTAAAACACAGTACACATCCTCTGTCTATATCGTATCATTTCTCTTAAGTCTAACACAGCCAGATTTCTTTTCCTTTTTTCTTTTTTCTTTTTTGAGTTGGGGTCTCTGTCACCCAGGTTGGAATGCACAATTTTTCATTCATAGCTCACTACAGCCTTGACCTCCTGGGCAATTCTTCCGCCTTAGCCTCCTAAATAGCTGAGATACAAGCAAGAACCACCATACCCGGCTCTTTTATTATTATTATTATTATTTTATTTTATAGTAACAAGGTCTTGCTTTGTTGCCAATGCTGGTCTCAAACTCCTAGGCCCAAGCAATCATTTTGCCTTGGCCTTGCAAAGTGCTGGGATTACAGGCTTGAGCCGTTACACCCGGACCAGATTTTTTTCTCTAGCATCGTTCTCATTCAGGGAACAACAGGTAAAATAATTAGTTTCACTTGGAAACATGCTATAAGGGGGAAAAAATGAAGTTCTTATTTTCCCAAGAGGATTAGTTGAATTAGTGCTAGTTAAATGTGCATTGATGTGACTCCACTGTATTTCCCTCCCAAACATTTCTTAGATTCACCTTCCTATCTCTACCTCTTTAGCATCTTCACTGGGCATTCTTGAAGAGTCTGTTCAGTTTCCCGGAGTCTATACCTCACGTTAGCAGGCGTAGATAGGACTGGCTTCCTCAGAGCTACTGTGGGAAACTGTTAGACTGTCTCTCTGTTGTTAAAAACCTCTTTGAGGTTCAGGCTGTCTGGCTAGCCCACTCATCCTCATTGCTGTCATCTGCTGAACTCACTCAGGTCATTTCACCCACATTCATTGAAGACCTTAATATCCTACCCACTGTCATCTTCTTTATCCCTAGTTTTATCATTATCTTGTTTGACTTTAGCCTTGTGACCTACCTGTTAAATTGTTTGTCCTCTGTGTTCCTTGGCCTCATCTTCTCCTGTAATGCTTTCCTTTAATCTGTGTCAGCCACCAAGTCCCACAACCAATTCCTGGACCAATTCTCAGATTCCACAACCATCTGAGAAACAGTTAACTGAATAGCTCACTATCTGACTTGCTCTCAACTCCTGCACTCCTAGCCATGCCTAATTCTTGGTCTCTGACTCCTCCAAGCCCTGTCAGCCAACACCTTCCCCTCTTCACCTTTTCTATGCTGTGTGGACTCCAACAAGTGAGTGCTCATTTTTAGTTCCTTATCTCCTCTCTGGTCCTCTGTGATCTGACCACTCCAGTAAAACCGCTCTCTCCATGGGTACCAATAACCACTTTGTTGTTGTCACTTCTTTTATATATATATATATATTTTTTTGTTTTTGTTTTTTTTGTTTTTTTTTTTTGAGTTGGAGTTTCACTCCATTGCCCAGACTGGAGTGCAGTGGCCGCTCCCACACCCAGCTAATTTTTTTGTTTATTTTTTTGTTTATTTTATTGTAGAGACGTGGTCTTGCCAAGTTGCCCAGGCTGGTCTTGAACCCACAGGCTCAGGCAATCCACTCACCTCGGTCTCCCAAATTGCTGGGATTACAGGCTGAGCCACCAAGCCCAGCCTAAAATTTATTTTCTAAATTAGGCTAATGAGGTCATTTGGAACTATTTTGATTAATTTATAATCTTTATAATTAAGCATGGAAAATGTTATATATGGTTATATATTTTTGTGGCAATCTTTCTAAAATCAATATTCTTGTTTTACAGTTGAAGCTTTATATCAAACTACATACCCAGAATATCTCCAGTACATTTACTTGGTGGCACCGATATCTCTTATGATGTTAAACCCTATCGGGTTTATCTTTTGTGAAATCCAGAAGTGGAAAGACTCTCAAAATGCTTCTCAAAACAAAGTAAAAATTGTGGGACTTGGACTTCTGCGTGTATTACAGAACCCAATTGTGTTTATGGTTTTTGTTGGCATTGCCTTCAATTTTATTCTTGATCGAAAGGTGCCTGTATATATAGAAAATTTTCTTGATGGACTTGCCAATTCTTTTTCTGGTTCAGCCCTCTTTTATCTTGGTCTAACAATGGTAGGAAAAATAAAGAGACTGAAGAAGTCAGCTTTTGTTGTACTAATTCTTCTCATCACAGCAAAACTGTAAGTTTCACTTGTTGAACTGGGAATTGTAGTTTGTGAAAGCCTTCCTTAGCCAACTTGTATAGAATGTGTCTGCAAATGTTTTCTCCTTTGAATGTTAATAATTCCTCCCTATAGAGTAGTTGTGATTTAAAGGAAAATATCATGTTGGTGTATTGTGAAGTCATTTTTTTATTCCTTGTGGTTATTCTTTCCAATTTACTGTTAGAGGATAAGGATGATTGGCTTCCTTTTTATGTTTTATTGTTTCCCTTTTCCAGGCTTGTGCCACCATGCCCAGCTAACTTTTCTTGATTTGTTGTAGAGACGAGGTCTCCCCAAGTTGCCAGGCTGGTCTCAAACCCTTGGGCTCAGGCAGTCCTGTTACCCCTGCCCCACAAAGTGCTGGAGTTACAGGCGTGAGCTACCGTGACAGACTTGATCATATTTTTGAAGGCATTTTGCAGTATTTCTAAGTTTGTTAAATTCATTAAATTCCCAATGGCAAAAGCATCTTAGTAATAATGAGAACGATAGTTGTTAATATAAACTTTTTTTTCATGCATTTGGGGAAACTATTTTGTAATTCTGAAGTCCATGGTACTTTCTAAATGTTGATAAGTCAGGGCGTGGTTATCAGCCATCTGATCCTAGTCTGTCCAGTGAAACGTTGTCAGCTCCTTGGTTATTAGTACTGGAGTTATACTTAATGGTTTTATGGTGCAGTTGATATAATTTTACTACAACATTATCCCAAAGTACTTGAGGCATACTTAACTATGAAATTTAGCTCTTTTTTTTTTTTTTTGAGTTGTAGTCTCATTCTGTCACCCATGCTGGAGTGCCATGGCACACTCATGGCCACCCCAGAATTGACCTACTGGGCTCAGGCTATCCTTCCGCCTTAGCCTGCCAAGTAACCGGAGCTACAGGCGTGTGCTACCACACCTGGCTGATTTTTTAATTTATTGTAGAGATGAGCTCTCATCAAGTTGCCCAGGCTGATCTTGAACCCCTGGGCTCAGGTAATCCTCTCGCCTTGGCCTCCCCAAATGCTGAGATTATAGGCTTGAGCCACAGCCCCGGGCTGAAATTCAGCTCTTATACTGGTAGCTAAACTCATGAGACCATTGCAATATCATATATTTATATTTTCAAAATATAAAAGTGGATTAAAGTACTAAAAATTATTTGTGGTGACATTCTGCTCCTCAGAAACAAAGTATTAATTAGTATTGTCACAATATTAAATATAGTTTTAACAATAATAGTTATTAACTTATTCTTATAATAGAATTTAAATATTGTAATTTAGGCTAGGTGTGGTGGCTCACGCCTATAATTCCAGCACTTTGGGAGGTGGAGGTGAGAGGATTGCTTGAGCTCAGGGGTTCAAGACCAGCCTATGCAACTTGACGAGACTTTGTCTCTACAATAAATCAAAAAATTAACTGGGCATGGTGGCACGTGCCTGTGATTCCAGTTACTTGGAAAACTGAGGTGAAAGGATTGCCTGCGACCAGCAAGTCGAGACTGCAATAGCCATGATTGTGCCACTGTACTCCAGACTGGGCAACAGAGTTAGACTCCAGCTCAAAAACAAAAACAAAAAATTCTAATTTTCAAAACTTGAAGGGGGAGTTGATTTTTATTAGATATTTCATTTTTTAAATTAAAAGAAGAAGGCTGTGTGTGGTAACTCACACCCGTAATCCCAGCACTTTGGGAGGCTAAGGCAGGCAAATTGCTTAAGACCAGGAAGTTGCCTGGCCTGGGCAACATTGTGAAACCTTGTGTCTCAAAAAATAATAATAGGCCAGGTGCGGTGGTTCACGTGTATAATCTCAGCACTTTGGGAGGCCCAGGTAAGAGGATTGCCTGAACTCAGAGGTTCAAGACCAGCCTAGGCAACTTGGCGAGACATCATCTCTACAATAAATCAAAAAATTAGCCAGACGTGGTGGCGTGTGCCTGTGGTTCCAGCTACTTGGAAGGCTGAGGCTGAAAGAAAGTAAGCGTGCCACTGCACTCCAGCCTGGGCAATGGAGTGAGACCCCCATTCAACAACAACAACAACATAATAATAATTTAAAAATTAGCCAGGCATGGTGGTATGCGCCTGCAATCCCAGCTAATTGGGATGCTGAGGTAGAAGGATGCTTGTGCCTGGAAGGTCAAGGCTGCTGTGAGCTGTGATTGTTGTGATCATGCCACTCACTGTAATCCAGACTGGTCAACAGAAACCCTGACTCAAAAGAAAAAAAAAATGGATTACCTGAACCCGTGGGTTCGAGACCAGCCCAGGCAACTTGGTGAGACCTCGTCTCTACAATACACAAAAAATTAGCTGGGTGTGGTAGCGCATGCCTGTAGTTCCAGTTACTTGGAAGGCTGAAGCAGAAGGATCGCTGAAGCCCAGAAAGTCGATGCTGGTGTGACCGTGTGTGTGCCACTGCACTTCAGCTAGGGTGACAGAGTGAGACTCCAACTCAAAAAAATAAAAGAATGATTTGCATAACAAATTATATTTTTGCCTCCTAATCACAGATGTGTGAAGTATTTCCAGAATATTGTTAAATTTTAAATGGCTCCCAAGCTGAATTCTTGATTCTTTCAACAAAATGTGCAGAGGAAGGCATACCTATAGCATATGCATGCAATTAGATGTACTTTCCAGGCAGGAGAAGAAGCATAACCTCATGCCAAGTTCACTAGGGCAATCTACTCCTTGGGGACCAGCATGCTTTGATATCAGGTAAATGATGTATTTCTTCTTTCTTCAGGCTGGTACTTCCACTTCTATGCAGAGAGATGGTGGAACTCTTGGACAAGGGCAACAGTGTAGTGAACCATACAAGTTTATCGAATTACGCATTTTTGTATGGTGTCTTTCCAGTAGCACCAGGCGTGGCTATCTTTGCAACACAGTTCAACATGGAAGTGGAAATTGTATGTATATACTACTCCCTAAGTTTAGTGTGGTGTTTAGTATAAAAATTGATTTTTAAATTCATTGTCAGATTCTAAACACAGAAAGCAACATTTTTAAATGAGAATTTGATGTCCTGTAAGCTCCCTTATCATAAGTAATGCCATCATGTAGTATGTAACAATAGTTATTTAATTTGAGGTCTTAATTCAGCCATGAGTTTTTTCATGTCTTTTATAGTTTATATTATTTTATTTCTGTACTTATGCCTAAACCTCAAAGTTATCTACAGAAGGGTAACCTTTGAAATTTTGAGGGAAAAAATTCTGTTTCAGTCATCGATAATTCAACAACTAGATGCAAAAATAGTACATAATCAACTGCAACAAATAGCTAAAATCAAATAACACCAAATTAGTAACAGTGTCTAAGTGTATTGTACATGCTATCTACTGCATTAGAGTAAATATAATATGAAGGAACTAAATTGTTTAATGAAGGTCAGTTCTATTATTTAATCTGTATTGTAATTTTTCTTTTTTTTTTCTTTTTGAATTGCTTTTTTGTCCTGAATTTTATGAAATAGGATGGAAGGAATCTGTTCATATGTTTAATTAGATCACTGGTAGGGTTTACTTTCTAGAACCTAAAAAATAACCATCAACAGTGAAATTTCTAGTATTTGTTAGGTATAAATACAGATTGAAGTAGAAGAGGAGTCAGGGGAACTTAACTGTTTTCTTTTAAGGCCTTTCAGAAAGGGGAAATATGGTATTGGATAACATGCTGGATTTTATAATGTCTTTACTGACTCTCATCTTTATTATTTTAGAATGCTTTAGTATGCTGTGGATATTTAAAGTTTCAGGTAACTGTTTAAGGCCTGGCATAGTGGCTCAAGGTGAGAGGATCACTTGAGGCCAGGAGTTCGAGACCAGCCTGGGCAACATAGTGAGACATTGTCTCAATAAAAATAAAAAACATCAGCCAGATATGTTAGTTTATACTTGTAGTCCCAGCTACTCGAGATGCTGAGGCAAAAGGATCACCTGACCCCAGGAGTTTGAGGCTACGGTGGACTATGATTGTACCACTGCCCTCCAGCCCGGGCAACAGAGCAAGACCTGTTCTAAAAATAAATAAATAAAACAATAATAATAATAAAAAATAATTGTTTAAGTGAGATTGTGACTTGTCAGTTTGACTTCATTGTTGCAGATAACCTCAGGGATGGTAATAAGCACGTTTGTGTCTGCTCCAATCATGTACGTGTCTGCCTGGTTACTGACCTTTCCCACTATGGACCCCAAGCCATTGGCATATGCCATCCAGAACGTTAGTTTTGATATAAGTATTATCAGTCTGATCTCCTTGGTAAGTATGTTTCATTGTAAAAATGAATGGAAACCACAGAATGAGTTTTGAGAATAGCTTGGTAATAGAAAGTGTTAAAAATCTAGTTTCTTATGAAATAGAGAAATATCAGCTTTTTTTTTCTTTTGCTTTTTTTTTAGAGTCTCAGTCTGTCACCCAGATTGGAGTGTAGTGGCACACTCATGGCTACCGCAGCCTCGACCTGCTGGGTTCAGATGATCCTTCTGCTTCAGCCTTCCAAGTAGCTGGAACCACAGGCACACACCACCATGCCTGTGTTAATTTATGTGTAGCTAATTTTTTGATTTATTGTAGAGATGTGTTCATGGCAGTTTGTTCAATATGGTCGCGAACTCCTGAGCTCAGGCAGTCATCTCGCCTCTGCTTCCCAAAATGCTGGGATTACAGGCGTGAGCCACCATACCCAGCTATAATATCAGCTTTCTTCTTAGCTGAGTTTTGTCTTTCCAATTGGGAGACTTTTATAGCAGACAGGGCATGATATTTAGTCAGACCTGGGTTTGACTCCTGGCCCTAACACAAACTAACTATATGTCTCTGTGCAGTTACTGTAACCTCTCTAAGCTTCAGTTTCCTCCACAATAAAGTGATAATAGTTTCACATATTTCCATGGGTTGTTTTAAGGGTTAAATAAGGTAATATATGTGAAAAATATTCTGTGAATGATGAATCTCCACAGTCACTAGCTGTTATAGAATCATAGAATCAGAAAGGATCTCTGGGATCAAGTCTATCTGCCTGTTTAGTGTTTAGGTAACTTTGCAAATTGGATATATGTAGCTCAAATTAAATTATTAAGCATCTGACAACAGAGTATTTTACAGATCAAGTAGCCTATTTAATTCCAATAGTATTCTGGCATATAGAATTCCAATAGACAATGTGTATAGTTAAAGAAAAGAAAGTGGTGGCCAGCCATGATGGCTGATACCTATAATCCCAATACTTTGGAAAGCTGAGGTGGGAGAATCACTTGAGGTCAGGAATTTGCTATGGACAATATAACAAGACCCTGTCTCTACAAAAAGTAAAAAATTAGCTGGGCACGGTGCTCAGGACTGTAGTCCAGTTACTCAGGAAACCGAAGTGAGAAGATTACTTGAGCCCAAGGGTTCAAGTCTGCAGTGAGCTATGGTTGTGTCACTGCCTTCCAGCTCGGGCAACAGAGTGAGATCCCAACTCAGAACAAAAAAAAAAAGAAAAGAAAAAGGAGGTGGTAATGAAGGTATTTATTGCAACAAATACATGTGTGATTAATGTAATTTTTAAAGAAATTCTACTGCTGACACATATTCTCTGGAGAGAGAGACTATATTAATTTTAATTGGCAATGAGGAGAGAAAGAAGGAAATTAACCCAAATACTTAACTGGTTATTATGTAGGTGGACTAGAAACCCAGTCCTTTTAAGTATGAGGAATGTAAAATGATTTGATCTTAGGTTGGGTAGTATGTGTTTTTTGAAGTAAGATAGCCTAGAATTTAGATTCTCTCATGAGCCAATATGGTAGACATTGTAAAGAAAGAAGTTAGAATAGTGCATTATAACTGTATCTTCCACTAAAATTCCTTTTCTGAGTAGTTAACTGTGACTCTGCATCTCACTCCAGCCACTGAAGATATGCATAGTTAGAACATGGCCTTTGTCAAGGCATTCATTCTTAAAGATTCTATAATTTTTAGACAGTTAATTTATTATGGGATCACTCCATGCTTTTTATTTTACTTTGAATATAGTAATTTATGTTGTTTGGAACTAGACAAATTAAAGTAGATAAAACACTGGCATTTATTTCTGAACCAGGATAAAGAGAATTATTTAAAGAGATGAATCAATGTGTTACTTAAAAAGTATTTATAAATATTAAGAAACATGAATAACCTCTGAATCTTTTGTCTTCAAGATCTGGTCTCTGGCTATTCTTCTTTTGAGTAAGAAATACAAACAGCTTCCTCATATGCTTACAACTAATTTACTCATTGCTCAGGTTAGTGAAAGTACAGAACTATGTTTTTCTCATGGATTCTATGGAAAAAATGAATTTGCTAGTTTTTTCAGTTTTAAAGTCAGGTGTATTACTAAGTACAGTTAATAACAATTTACTTACAATGAGTTTATGCCTAATATATTAAATATTGCTATCTAAAACTGAGGCTAATAATGGCATTTGAGGATAACTTTGCATTTTTTAATAAAAATAGTTGAATCATTAAAATTGAACTTTCTCACAATCTTGTCTTTCTAGTCAATCTTTGCATGTCTCAAAATATATGGAAAGAAATTTCACATTTTCTATGTAAACCATTACTAAATACAGTTATAAGATTGATATTTAGAATATAGTGATCATCTGTTTCAATTGAAAATGTTCATTATTCAAACTCTGTATTGAAAGGGTTTTTTTTAATCCTAAAGCTTGACGTTTTAGTATAACTAGTATGTTATACTTGATCATTACTCAGCAATAATTTTAAATGAATGATTATATTTGCTGTAAATAAGACTTATATGAATATGACTGGCTAAATAGTGATTTTCTGTGATAGTATTGAATTATATGGTTTTCTTAGCTATTCACAAAGTCTTTTAATAATTTTTTCTTTAGTCTATTGTCTGTGCTGGAATGATGATATGGAATTTTGTTAAAGAAAAAAATTTTGTTGGACAAATTTTGGTGTTTGTTCTATTGTACAGCTCCCTCTATAGCACCTACCTGTGGACAGGTAAGTTGGATCGTGAGTGGAAATTGAGGTCTGTTCCCCTCTCCCCCTTCCCTAACAGTCCTTAGCTTCTAGTGGTCTGGTTGAAGTCTGGTAGTTCAGGAAGGAGGCAGTCACTCGGGCAGTTATGCCCACCATCATAGACAGTCTGCAAAACTGAGTTCTGTTTCCTGATGCCGCTTTCTGTTTCTGCCTGGGCTCAGGGTCTTGTCCAGTCACATGGTCCTTTCCTCGGGGTCTTTGGCTCTAGGTCACTGTCAGCATGGCTCCCCTTTGGAGATAACAAGGGCAGGTACAGGAGGCAGGAGGAGAAGGGAGGAGATGAGCAGAAATGCAAGAGTTGTGTCCCAGAGCTCACTGTCAGAGTCCTGCTGAACAGAAAAATTCCTGCTCTGCCTCAAGCAAGTTACTTCACTTTGGAAGCCTGTTTCCTTGTCTATAAAACTGCGCTACTGCACCTGACAGAATTATTTTGAAGATGAAATGGAATAGGAATACTTATGTCTGGTACATGGTAGGCAGTCAACAAATGAAACTATGTTTGTTATTAAATAGACGGAAAAGAGATAATGTGAGAACAAGAAAACTAAGAGAATAGAAAGATATGGAAATAGAGGAAGACCTAGTAAGAAAGACTGTTTCTCTTTTCCAATGAGTCCAGAAAGGATATTCAGAATGTTTTAGCATGTTGCTGTTCTGAAGTATAATATTTATTTGGATGCATACATTCTGGTACATTTCATGAAAAATCCTACCTGACTGTTTTATAGTCATACCACAAATTTGAACCTGCAAAATGACACATAAAAGGAAATTGTAGATAGGTAGGAGGTGAGTGTCAGGAAATGGCTGCGGAGGATAGACTTTTGATTTCATGCCTTAGGATCAAAAGCAAGTCTCATCCAAGTCAACAGTTTTTTGAAATGAAGCAACAGTGTAGTGAGGAATTGCTGAATGAAAAATTCAGCCCAAACAGAAGACAGTTTGTGCTTTCTAAAGGCAAGCAGCATGAGAGGTTTCGTGAGATGACAAGTTAAAATAGTCTAGAGATTTTATATTTCCAGATATAGAAGGATCAATTTGATCTCTAATAACTAGGTTTAATCAGGTTACATTTATAATGAGAATAAGAGAGTAGCAAGTAGATCAGTGTATCAAAAAGTGCCATGTCTCTCTAAAACCCTCTTCAAACATGCATGCCAAAATCTGTCCAAAAAAGTTGTTTGGAATTCTCTAACCTTGATAAAGGTGCCCTGTAGCCCTCAGGTTATTATAATACAATAGAATTTTAGACCTGAAAGTATCATTTTAAATCATCCTGTTCTGCCATTTTCAATTTCACTCATTTGCATACCACCCTCACAATTTTTGCCATATCTGCATACCACCTCTTCTTTTTTTTTTTTTGTCTTATGTTGGGGTCTCACTCTGTCACCCAGGCTGGAGTGCAGTAGCGTGATCATGGCTCAGTACACCCTCAACCTCCTGGGGTCAGGCGATCTTTCCACCTCAACCTCCTGAGTATCTGGGACTACAGGCAGGCGCCACTACACAAAGCTAATTTTTTAATTTTTTGTAGAGATGACCTCTCACTCTGTTGCCCAGGTTGGTTTCAAACTTCTGGGCTCAAGAGAATCTCCTGCCTTGGTCTACCAAATGCTGAGATTACAGACGTGAGCCACTGCACTTGACCTTTTTGTTTTTAATTGACTTACTTTTTTTACTTTCATCAATTGAGACTTATATAAATAAAATCTCAGGCTTTATGTGCTAATTAATTTTTCTTAAGTACACATTAAAATAAATGCATAACTAGTCCAACATTTTCACCTTTGTGCCACCTGTAGTTCCTATACCTTAGAAAACACTGGTCTAGTTTAGATCCTTCATTTAAATAGGCCCAGAGGGAGCCTGGCTCCAAGGTGAACATAATGGTGGAAACTGGGCCATAAAATATTCTACAGAATGAGAGCTACACATATCAGAGAAACAAGAAACTCGAGTCGTGGTCCTTGAATCCATTGTGCCTTCCAGATACTAAATGAGTAAAATAAACTGCCTCCCTATATAAGCTACCATTACTTTGCTTTTTTACTGTCACTCATAGCTGAGGCTAACTGGAATACATTGATTGTCACAAAGTTAAGGTCTGGAAGACCTACCATGAACAGCTTCCCACGGGATTTATAGTGATCCTTTGGAGTTTATTTTTGGGGTGAGGGTAAGTGTGGCTGAAGGAGAGGAGATAAAGAAAATGTATAGACTGGCCGTGGTGGCTCATACCTGTAATCCCAGCATTTTGAGATTGCTTGAGTTCAAGAGTTTGAGACCAGTCTGGGCAACATGGTGAGACCTCTTCTCTACAAAAAATAAAAAAATTAGCATGGCATGGTGGTACATGCCTATAGTCCATGCTACTTTGGAAGCTGAAACTGAAGCATCTCCTGAGCTCAGGAGGTCAAGTCTGTGGTGAACTGTGAGTGTTCCACTGCACTCCAGCCTGGGAGACAGAGTGAGACTCTAACTCAAAAAAAAAAAAAAAAAGGCCTGGGCACGGTGACTCACACCTGTAATCTCAGTACTTTGGGAGGCAGAGGAGAGAGGATTGCCTGAGCTCAGGGGTTTGAGACCAGTCCTGGCAACTTGGCTGCTCCTCTTGTCTACAAAAAATAAAAAATTTAGCTAGGCATGGTAGTTAGTGCATGCCTGTAGTCCCAGCTACTTGGAAGGCTAAGGTGGAAGGATTGCTTGGGCCCAGCAGGTCGAGGCTGTGGTGGTCATGAGTGCCACTGTACTCCAGCCTAGACTACAGAGTGAGACGCCAACTCAAAGAAATAAAATAAATAATAAACAAGTAGGCCCAGAAAGTTAAACTGATTGAGGCCAGAGCTCTCAGCTTTGTCGGAGTTCCAGGGCTGGATTCTACATGTTAATATATGTTTCTTTTCACAAGGCAGGGATGATAAACATTGGAATTTTAAAGACTGTCTGTGCTACTGTAACACAGAAGGCACACTTTTGTGATGTGTTACTTGTTTCCCTAGCACTTTGTAAACCTGAAACTTAGGGTATACAAATAAATATATTGAAGGGGGAGCAGTGGTAGAGAAAAACAATTCTTAAGGACCCCAATGTCAATTTATATTAATTCTAGCAGTGTTATTTAACCTGTAGAATCTTAAATCTAGGAGTGAATTCTTTATGTACAGCTAATATGCAACAATAAAACCAAAGCAAATTCACAGATTCTATTCCAAAAAGACAACAAGCCCAGTAACTTAGTAACGTTCATTAACATGGCCAAGGATCTTTTGTAAGTCACCGCTTGAAATGTAACCAGAACGCTCTTCTCTGCTAAGGCTTTTTGGAGCTTGACTTGCCTTTATTTTCATATGTGGGATTATGACCTGGCTATCTCACTGCTTTTCTTTCTTCAGACTATCCCAGAACCTTCATTCAGACTGTGTGTTGTGATTTCGTTTGACCTCCACTTAATATAAAACCAAATGTAAGCTCTGAAACTCGTGAGATTGCGCTTTGGTTATATGGTGGACACACAGATGACTATCACTGAAAATAAGCCAAAAAGACTTAAAATTTCTTATAGAAATTTCTCGATCCTGAAGTATGTGTCTTAGGAACCCTAGAGGTCCACAGATCAAAATTTAGGAAACACGGATAGAGTTGAAGGCCTTATCATGTCGGATGTCTGGGTTTCTAGTCCCACTCTGCCCTCTGCTGGCTGTGTGACTTGGGCAAGGTCTCTTTTCCATAGCTGTAAATAAAATGAAGGTGCTAATTTAAAACAGAGGTCCTTTCCAACCTTAAAGTTCTAAGATCCTATAGCTATGTAGAATTTATTAAAGTGTTACTTGTATAAATAATTACTTATATGGTATAAAGAAAGGTATGACTTAAAAATATTTGTGCTTATTTATTTTTATTTATGTTTTTGCTTTTTTGAGTCTGGGTCTTACTCTGTTGCCTAGGCTGGAGTCCAGTGGTATGATCACAGCCACCACAACCACTGCTGGGCTCAGGTGATCCTTCTGCCTCAGCTTCCCAAGCAGCTGGGACAACAGGCACACACCACCACACCAGCTAATTTTTAAATTTATTATAGAGACAAGGTCTCACCACGCTGCCCAGGTCACAAACTCTTTGAGCTCTGGAGCTCAAGCATTCCTCTTACCTCAGCCTCTCAAATTGCTGAGATTATAGGTGTAAGCCACCAGGCCAGCTGTGTTTATATTAATCCATTATTACATTTGATACATCACTACATTTTCTAGAAACATAACCTGAGTAAGAGTTGCCTATACTTCTTAGTACCAGCAGAGTGGAGGTGTTTTTTTTATCTTTAGAATTGTTCTGTATAGAGTTAAAAAAATTTTTTTTCAACTATACATTAGATTGAAAACACATGAGTCAAAAGAACACAATGATTAGGGCTTATCCTCATAGATGAGACAAAAGATTTGAGTAAAGAAATAATACAGAAGGGAAAATATGAATGATTTTGAATTAAGAAAACTTGCTTCAAAATATTGGGGACAGAATTTATTTAAAAGCAGTAAATCTTAGGTCAAAAACTGCAGATGATGACTACTACTGAATTAAAGCTCCCTGATGTCTGATCAACATGGAGTAATTATCTCTCAATCTTCTTGTTCTTAGGCCTTCTAGCAATTTCTCTGTTTCTTTTGAAGAAGCGAGAGAGAGTACAAATTCCTGTTGGAATCATCATCATATCTGGCTGGGGGTAAGTTGTAAGTTTTTGGCTTGCTGACATGTTTCCATATACACAGTTGCTATTCATGTTCTCTCCATAAACCTTGTTATTACAGAATTCCTGCTCTCCTCGTTGGTGTTCTTTTGATAACTGGGAAACATAATGGAGACAGCATTGACTCAGCCTTCTTTTATGGAAAAGAGCAGGTGGGCAGAGTTTAGTGGCAGTTTTCTTGAGAATGTCTCTTTTTAGCTTGCTAATAGGTCTTGCTATACTTACACCAATATTAATCTTGAAAATCTGTCTCACCTTATGGCTTATCATGCTTGTGGTCCTGTATTACTTTCTCATACCTCAAAATATGGGAAACATTTTGCACGTCTAAGTTCATTTTTAGCTGAAGATTTTTAAATGTATGAAACCCATGGAGCCTTCCAAAACACACTTAGGAATTATGTTTCCTCTATTGGAGGAAAGAATGATTAATTTAAAGCCATTTAATAAGTTAGCAGTAATAATGAAGGTCAAATAATTGACTTTTAATCCTATCGTAAATGTAAATTTCAGAACAAAACGTGCCTGGAAAAGTGTGTTTGAAAAGCTATAGAGTGACTGGGCTCAGTGGCTCAGCCTGTAATCCCAGCACTTTGGGAGGCTGAGGTGAGTGAATTGCCTGAGCCCGTGGGTTCGAGACCAGCCCCGGCAACTTGGCAAGACCTCTTCTCTACAATAAATCAAAACTTAGCTGGGCATGGTAGTGTGCGCCTGTAGCTCCGGCTACTTGGAAGGCTGAGGCGGAAGGATAGCCGGATCCCAGCAGGTCGACGCTGGGGTGGCCATGCACTCCAGCTTGGGTGACAGAGTGAGACTCCAACTCAAAAAAAGAAAAGAAAAGCTAGAGAGTAAGAGGCTTGTGGGACCTCCTGAATTCTTTAGGGGTAGGACCCAAGGATGTGTGTTTTTTAAAAACCTCCCAAATAATTTTGATTTCTGTTTTGATTCTGTTTTGCAATGTTGAATCTCATTGAGTTTTTGTGAGGCTTAATAAGCTTATCCATATGAAGGACTTAAGAGTTGGCATCTGGTTAGTGCTCAAGAAATCTTAGCTATAGTTATTTTTAGTGTCATTACTATCAAGAAGTCTCTAGTTGGCCAGGAACAGTGGCTCACACCTGTAATTCTAGCACTTTGGGAGGCTGAGGCGAGAGGACTGCTTAAGCCCAGGTGTTCAAGACCAGACTGGGCAACATAGTACAACTTAGTCTCTACAAAAAGTAGAAAAATTAGCCAGGTATGGTGGTGTGCACCTATAGTCCCGGCTCCTCAGGAGGCTCTGGCAGAAGGTTTGTCTGAGTCCAGGAGGCCAAGGCTATGGTGAGCTGTGATTGTGTCATTGATCTCCAGCCTGGGTGACAGTTTGAGACCCTGACTCAAAAAAAAAAAAAAAAAAAGTCACTAGTTGACTGAAGCATGTTTGAACTATAAAAGTGAGCAAAAACTTAGAAGTAAAGAAAAGGTCTGTAAGAAATAATTTAGATTACTTGTAAAGGAACCCAATGCCTTTCAGGATAACTAATTGCTATACCATGAAAGAAGCATCTAGAAGACATATGTGATTGTAAGAAAACCCTAGTTTCTATCCAAGTGACTTACGTTCCTTACATACTCTTACTCTTTTAAAATAACCACTGTTCTATGTATGTAAAACTATGCAGATGTGTTTTCCATCAAATAAAAGTGCCCTTTACCTATGCAACTAAAATGATCAAGATGGGACTGTAAAAAGTGGCCTAACGTCTTTTTCTATCATCGGCAGATGATCACCACAGCAGTCACCCTGTTCTGCAGCATTCTGATAGCTGGCATATCACTCATGTGCATGAATCGTACCACCCAAGCAGGAAGCTATGAAGGTTTCGACCAGACTCAGAGCCACAAAGCAGTGGAGCCTGAAAACACTGCCTTTGAGGAGAGTCCAGCACCATCAAATGAACCAGAACTTTTTACAAGTTCTATCCCAGAAACAAGTATGATTCTTAAATATAAAGAACATATTACATGTCTTTATAGCATGTATCCTAAATGTTTTGTTAAGGTGTTCACTGAAAAAAAAAATCACAAGATCCATAAATTTGGAAAAGAGGACATTATTTTTTATAAAATTTACCGCCTGCAAGGTAGCCATGCACAAGCTGGGAAGTGCAGACTCTGGCAAAGACCAGAAACAAGCACTTTGAAGGAAGAGGGGCTGAGGTAGGAGCTTTACACTGAATGGATTGGTTAAACATACGTATTTAACGGGTTACAGAAGGAGTGTGAATATTCATGAGGTGGTCCTGCCACTTGGCATGTTATACAAAGATGTATGTAACATATGACCTATGTTCACCTTGGGATGAAGAATTAACATTTAAATATATTACAATTAGACCCTGTACCTCAAAAGGTCTTTTCAAGACACAAAGACACTCAAGTGTGTGGCCTCTGTAAAAACCAGCCAGACCTAGTTGTGATTGGAGGTCTTCTTATCAGGAGAAAGTTACTGAAGTCAGTCTCTTGTCCAATCAAAACTGTAGTTATGGCTATGGAACAGAAGTCAGTTAGACAGTGTCAGATGATTGGTATGTTGCAATTGCTTCAACGTTGCTTATTTCAGGGCCAGTGCTTATTTAGCTGCTACAGAAAAATAAAAACCCTGTGGCAGTTAGAATATAGCTTATTCTCTAAGTGTAGGGGGTGCATGAACTAACCCTTACTTGACATGGCCTTAAATCTTTGTTTATACTTTAGTGTCTTATGCCACAAAGAGTGGGTTGTTTTATGATCTCTGTTTGAACATGAATGCTGGTCAGTTGAGTCTAGACTGCAAAAGGGGGATGTTTAAGGAGGCATGACTGACATCCATTCTGTCCTCCCTGGGAACTCAGTTTTTAAGGTTTTTGGGGGGGTTTGGCAGGTGCCCTTGGCCAAGAGGGGGTTCATTCAGTTGGTTCATTCAGTTGGTTCATTCAGTTGACTTAGGATTTTTAGCTTATAAAGGTACTTCCTTGAACTATTTTGACTATGATAGGTATTTGTTAAATGAAGAACTTGAATCATAGTCAGTAATATCGTTTGCAAGTTCATTCACTGGATTTGTGTTTATAAGTCATTTCATTTTGTGAGAATATCCTTTGTTAAATCCTAAAACTCTCTCGGACCTGAGAATTTAGAAAAAAGAACAACCAAAGGAAGGCCCTTCCTAGGAAACTAAGCACATACATATGTTATTTTAAGAACATTGTATCATGCAAACATCATCAATAACATGAATTTAAAGAGGATTGAATGTAGCTGGGTAAATGATAAAAGGATTGAATGTAGCTGGGTAAATTGGCAAAATACAGTCCATAGGCCAAATCTGTGTAGCCTACCAGCTAAGAATGTTTTTTTATTTTAATTTTTAAAATTTTTAAACTTTTTTTGAGTTGGAGTCTCACTCTGTTGCCCAGGCTGGAGTGCAGTGGCACGCTCATGGCCACCGCTGCCTCAACCTGCTGGGCTTAGGCAATCCTTCCGCCTCGGCTTCCAAGTAGCTGGAACTACAGATGCATGCCACCACACCCAGCTAATTATTTTGTGATATATTGTAGAGACAAGGTCTCACCAAGTTGCTCAAGCTGGTCTCGAACCCCTGGGCTCAGGCAATCCTCTCACCTCTACCTCCCAAAGTACTGGGGTTACAGGCAATCCTCTCACCTCTACCTCCCAAAGTACTGGGGTTACAGGCTGAGCCAGAATGGTTTTTACATTTTTAAAGGGTTGAAGAAAAATTAAAAGAAGACAAAAGTTTTGTGACCCTTAAGAACCATTTGAAATTTAAATGCCATGTCCCTAATTTTATTGACAAAAGGCGAAAGATTTATATGCTCTGAAGCCAGAATCATCATTTTATTGGCATAGGGCCAATAAATTCCATTTTATTGGCATTTGTGTATTGTCTGTGGTGCTTGCTTGCTATAATGGTGGACTTGAGTCATTGCAGCAGAGACCAACTGGCTTGCAAAGCCAAAAATGCTGTCTGGTTCTTTATAGAAAAATGTTTGCCAGCCCTTGGCATAAGTGGACATATGATCCTAACTGGTAACTTTGTTAATGAGTGTTAACAATTGTAATGGGGTTTGCTTCAATTCATGGAGGGAACTCAGCAACAGAGTGTGCCTTTTGGGTTCATTGTGCATGTGGAGATTTCCCAGATATAAAACATGCTGGGAACTAACTGTCAATGATGGTAAGTGTTTTGTTTAGAGAACTTGTGGAGTAGAGGGATGATCAGTAAGTAAAGAATAAGAAGGATCCCCGGAGCCCAGCAGGTCGAGGCTGCGGTGGCCAGGAGCGGCCACTGCACTCCAGTCTGGGTGACAGAGTGAGACTCCAACTCAAAAAAAAAAAAAAAAAAAGAAGAAGAAGAAGAGTGATAACAAGAGCTAGAAGATTTAGAAGAGCATTTTAATTATCTTAAAAGAAAGAAAATCCCACAGAACTTGCCATCTTACATTGTCCTTCCTCCTCTCTTTCCTCCTTCCTTCATCATCCATACTATGAGTATATATAACATAGTGGTTAACAATATGGATCTCGAGCCAGATTGCCAGAGTTCAAATCCCGACTCTGTAATTTACTGCTGTTTGATCTTGGACAAGTTTCTTTTGTGTTAGTTTCCATATCTGATGATAATACTTGTCTTCGGAAGATGAGTAGAGTCCATGATTGAACATCTGTGAAGGTTAGCAGCACATAGTAAAAATAATGTGTTCGCTATTATAACATTTTATTATAAAAAGAAGACATCCTTGCAGTAAGAAATTCAAATACTATTCTAAAAGACTATAAAAACAAAAACTAAAGTCTTCCCCTCTCTGATTCTCAGTCTTACTCCCCAAAGGTAACACTTTATGTACCACTCAGAAATTGTATTCATTTACCTTTTATTTAACTCCATATAGAATCTTGCCATCATAATGTTCTTCAACTTATACAGAGGTCATGCTGTATGAAAGGACATTTTTTTTTTTCTGTTCAGGGAACTGTAAGAATTTCAATAAGGTTTGAGCTCAGGGTATGTACAAGGAAAAGATCAAGATAAAATTGTTAAAGTAAGCAGATGCATAGCATTCTATGCCTTGCTAAACGTGAGGACTTTGTCCTGTGAGCAACAGGTATATTTGTGGTTTTCTCAATAGATTAGGCCTGACATGGGGTCTAGACTAGGGCATTAGGTGTGGAGGACCAGGAGGGACCAGACTCTGAAGCTGTATTGCCAGAGTTTGGTAATCTGTTGGAAGCTGGGGGAGGGGTAAGGGAGGAACTGAGGAAAACTTCCAGGAATCTGATATAGGTGAATGTGTCATTGCGGATATTACCTAATAAGGGGAATTCAGAGAGAACAGACTTTTTAGGGGAAGATAATAAGTTCATTTTGGAGTTTTCCTAGTTTGACATTCATGAAACACCAAGGACACATTCTAGTTTCTCAGTGAACTTCTTAAAATGGGATGTTCAGATTTGAATACAGTATTCCAGTTATCCCAGTCCATAGTGCATGGAAAGCATCCAGTATGTGTTGAATGTCTGTTGACTGAGTAAAGAATATAAGGAATCAGTCCTGCCTTCACATAGAAAAGAAACTGAATTCTGCCTACCACTATACTAGCTTTTATAGCTGCCAGGTTACTCTGATGATCTTGCATTTATAAGCATCTGAAAACTAGCCCCGCTGTACATCAATTATTACTAAGCAGTGTCTCTCCAGTCCTGCATCTATGCAACTAGCTTTGAAAAGTCTAAAACCGGACTTCATTATTTATCTGAGTCTATCATGACTGAGATTTCTTTGTGCCTTGATGTGGCATCAAATATGTCAACTTTTTTTTAATTATAGATGATTTATTTTTCTTATTTGAAGTATTTTTCTTATTTGAGACCTCATCTCTACAAAAACATCAAAAGATTAGCTGGGCTTGGTGGCAGTAGAGGGATGATCAGTGGTTCCAGCTACTCAGAAGGCTAAGGCAAAAGGATTGCCTGAGCTCAGGAAGTCAAGGCTTGCAGTGAGCCATAATTGTGCCGCTGCACTCAGCCTGAGCAATAGAGTAGGATCCCAACTGAAAAAATATATATATATATAATAAAAAGTTAACTTCAGTGTGCAAATGAGTGCATTAAAAAGATAATTTTTAAAAGGCTAACGTGTCATATTTACCTCAGATATTTTTCTTTTTTAAAAGAAATATAAATTACCAATAAAGCTGGAATCTTTGCACCCAATCCATTTCTGTTAATCCCAGAGGTAGCCACTATTAGGGGTTTGGACTATTTCCTTCCAGAGCAGTTTTATACTTTCACAATATGTATGTTTTCCATAAAAATAATAATAATTATTATTATTATCATCTTTTAATCAGGATCTCACTCTGTCACCCAGGCTGGACTCCTAGGCTCAGGCAATCCTTCTGCCTCCATATCCCAAGTAGCTGGACTATAGGCACATGCCACAATGCCTGACTAACTTTTTTTTTTTGGTAGAGACAGGGTTTTACTATGTTGCTGGTCTTGAACTCCTGGGCTCAAGCAATCTGCCCACCTCAACCTCCCAAAGTGCTGGGATTACAGGAGAGAGCCACTGTGCCCAGCCAACGTTATATAGTATTTTTATGTTTTTCCATGTTTTTATAAATCTTACACTGCAACTGCTTTATTGCACTCAGTAAGTTTTGAATTCATGCTGTAGATGTGTTCAGCTATAGTAAATTCCTTACATGTGAGCCTTCAAGTTGCAAACTTTCTTTTTATTTTTTTTTTAAGTCAGAGTCTCACTCTTTTGCTCAGGCTAGAGTGCAGTGGCATGCTCATGGCCACAGCAGCCTCCACCTGCTGGGCTTAGGCGATCCTTCTGCCTCAGCCGACCAAGTAGCTGGAACTATAGGCACGCACTACCATGCCCGGCTTATTTTTTGATTTATTGTAGAGACGAGGTCTCATCAAGTTG